TTCCGACTCATAGCAACCCCCACTGTGTTGCCAAGGGGGTAAATCTTTACGGAATTAGGTTGCCCCATCTTCCTTTGACAGAGCAACTGGTGGCTTTGAACCACCAACCTTCTGATTAACAGTCAAATTCCTTAGGCACTGTGCCACCAGAGCTCCTTAACCTAACGTTGTTGTTGTTATGTGCCATTGAGTCGGCCTCGACTCCTAACATTATGAAAACGGAACTCACTGCCATCTAGTCGTTTCTGACTAGATGGCAATAGCAACCCATCATTGGATTTCTGAGGCTGTAAACCTTTATGGTAGTAGATTGCTCAATATTCCTTCTGTAGAGCAGCTGGTGGGTTTGAACCACTGACCTTCCAGTTAGCAGTCAAGTCCCTTACCCACTACACCACCAGAGCTCCTTATGCTACCATTAGAAGAGTGATTAAAATAGAGTTAATGCAATAAAACATTTCTTTAAGTTGTATTACTTCAGCTTTAATAAATAAAAGCATTAATGAACCACTGTATTACCACACCTGGAGAGTGTTTAGGACAAAATATTCCAAACTTGTAAAAGATATTCAGTCAGTATTTTCTTGAAAAAATCTGAAAGTCCAGTAGCATGCTTCTCATAAAGTGCAAGCATTCTGCTTCAACAAGTATTTTGATGAGTGTTTTGACGTTTACCCCATTTGTCCATCACAATGAAGGGGAATTACTGATCTATTTCTTTGACTTCTTTCCTTAAACCCTAGATGAAGGATGGTAATTAGAATTTACAAAGCATTCAAACTTTATACCCACAAAAATAGGTTGCTTTGTTTGTATACTCATAAATCTTTACTCCCTTGTTAGTTTCATTCTGAAAAAAATTGAAGTATTTTGCCAATTGCAACACATTCTTCAGTTCTTTCCTGTTTCCAAAAGGTATACAGTACAACCCAACTACTTTAGCAAAGGCACACTATGTCTTACATGCTATTTTAATGAAATGAGACCATGAATATTCAGCAGTTTAATGTGTAAAGAACATGATGATTGGAATTATTTAAAAGCTTTAAAGAGGAATAGTGAACTTATTTCACTCAGCATAATGTCCTCCAGGCTCATCGACATTGTGAGATGATACAAATATTCTTCATCATTCTTTAATGTCATCTAGTATTCCATTGTATGAATGTACCATGATTTGCTTATGCATTCCTCTGTTGATGGGCATTTTGGTTGTTTCCATCTCTTTGCTATAGTGAATTGTGCTGTGATGAACATAGGTGTGCATATGTCTGTTCTTGTCCTGCCTCTCACCTCTTTAGGATATATTCCTAGTAATGGAATTGCTGGGTCAAATGGTACTTCTATTTTCAGTTTATTTAGGAAACACCATACCATTGCCACAATGGTTGTACCATTTTACAGTCCCACCAGCAGTGTATGAGAGTTCCAGTCTCTCTGCAACGTTGCCAGCATTTGTTATTTTCTGTCCTGTTGAACTTTGCAATTATTGCTGGGGTAAGATGTTATCTCATCACTGTTTTGATTTGCATCTCTCTAATGACTAAAGATTGTGAGCAATTCCTCATGTGTTTATTGGCTGCCAGCATATTGTCTTTAGTGAAGTGTCTGTTCATGTTACTTGCCCATTTTTGAATTGGATTGTTTGTCTTTTGGTGTTGAAGTGTTGAAGTTTCCTATAGATTTTGGAGACAAGTCCTTTGTCAGATATGTCATATGCAAATATTTTCTCCCAATCTGTAGGTTCTCTTTTTACCCTTTTGATGAAGTTTTTCCATGTGCATAAGAATTTAATTTTTAATAGGTTCCAGTCATCTAGCTTCTGTTCAACACCCTGTGTATTCTGGGTTATGTGCCATAGTCTGATTATGCCATAAATTAGGGCTCCTAGATTTGCCCCTATTTTATCTTTGATGAATTTTATAGTTTTGGGTTTTACATTGAAGTCTTTGATCCAACTTGAGTTTGTTTTTGTGTATGGGGTGAGGTATGGTTCTTGCTTCATTTTTCTGCAAGTGGATATACAATTTTGCCAGCACCATTTGTTAAAGAGGCTATCTCTCCCTCATTTAATGGGTTTTAGACCTTTGTCAAAGATCAGCTGTCCACATATAGATGGGTCTATTTCTGGGTTTTCGATTCCATTCCATTGGCCTATCTGTCTATCATTGTACCAATACCTATGCTATTTTGACTACTGTGTCTGTATAGTAGGTTTTACGATCTGGGAGTGTGAGACCTCCCAGTTTGTTCTTTTTCTTCAGTAGTGCTCTGCTTATCCGAGGTCTCTTTCCTTTCCATATGAAGTTAGTAACTGGTTTTTCCATGCCCTTAAAAAATTTTGTTGGTATCTGGATCAGAATTGCATTGAATGTGTAGATTGCTTTAGGTAGTATTGACATTTTCATAATATTCAGTCTACCTATCCATGAACAAGGCAGGTTCTCCCATTTATGTAGATCCTTCAAGGAGTCTTTTTGTAGAAGATCACTGTTTCGGTTACCTAGTGCTGCTCTAACAGACATACCACAAATGGGTGGCTTTAACAAACAGGGGTTTATTCTCTTACTGTTTAGGAGGCTAGAAGTCCAAGTTCAAAGTGCCAGCTCTAGGGACTAGGTGAAGGCCCCTTGACGTTGGGCTTCACCTCTGTCTCTTGCTTCCAGCTCACTGAAGCTGAAGGAGTCTCTTCACTCAGGCAGCTGCTTACTGCTGAGGCTAACAAACTCAAGGTCAACAAGTTAAATGGCACAGTCCCAAAATTATCATATCACACAGCAGGCTACTGATTCAAGTCCGTTAACAGTCCCAAGATCATCAGACAACAACTCAGTTACACACAGGAGTCAAGCATGCCAAAAGCTGCAGAGACCGTTCTCAAAGCTGCTTCTTATATACTGGAAGCAGATCATATCCCTAAGGCAGCTAATCAGCTCCTCTAGTACATTCCGTGGTGGAGTTGATTACCAATCGCATCCAGCTGCTCAGCCACTCAAAACCAGGCCCAGCCAAGTTGACACCCAGTTTAAGTACATCATATTCAGATATGATATATACAAATAGAAGTAAAATATTTTCCTTGAGGATTTTATAGCTTTAGAAATAATACCAACATCAACAACTACAGCAGATATTCTTTAAATTTATCAGCCATTATTTTAGTACTTTACATACATTATCTCGTTAACCCTAATGACAACCTTATATTAAGGATTGTTGCTTTCTCTGTTTTCCAAAGGAGAAAATTGCGATCAAGTAGTATGATTCAGCTGATAAATGATAGAGTTAGGATTGAAACTGAGGCTTCGGACTCCAGAGCCACCATCACAACCATTAAGTTATGCTGTTTCCCTTTTGTCTCTATTTGACAGAGCTCAGGGTTTCAAACTTCATTCTACACAAGTCGGCTAAACCACCATAAATGGAAAATAATCTATCTACCAAGCCAAAGATTAGTTTTCTACTCAAATTATCTATTTATTTTATGGAGATGTTTACATATGTTGATATCATGGGATTATTGCAAAGCTTAATCAAATTTACTTTGTTATTAACCATTTTTTTTTCATATACGGGGTGAGTAGATATGCTTAATTTCCTTTTAATGCAGATAAGAGTCCTTGAGGTTAATGAAATTAAGGGCCAGATTTTCCAAGAAAGCTATGTGTTTGAGTCTGCTGAATTTAAATGAGCTCTTATTTGCATGCTTGTAATCTTCCTTCATAGTAATTGCTTACTTATTCTGTGGTTGGCCATGTGAATTATGTTTAAAAGGCACTGACCGTATTCACAGAGGCAGTCATAAAAATAATCTTTAAAATGCACCCCCTTTTGAGCCCATTGGGTCAGCCTGAAATACATACTCAAAATAAGTATCCTGTTTCTATTTTTTCCATTCTAGCTGATGTAAACATTAACATGAAATATCTCAGAAAGAAATTGTTCTTTAGTTAACTCCATTTCTTTTTATGAATGTTTTACAGTTTTTAGGTATAAGCTATAGATTACCCTAGGTCACACAGGCAATATATACTGAACAGATGTTTTATAAGCAGCAGATGCCACAGGTTTCTGATGAAATTCTAAGTCAGAACCCTCAATTCTAGTTCTAACACCCTCCTGATTCTCTGAGATCCTGAGTTTTTACTATGTTTAGCTATACAATGTTGTTGTTGTTATGTGCCGTCGAGTCAGCCCTGACTCATAGCGACCCCTCCTTGGGTTTCCGAGGCAGTATCACTACGGAAGTAGGATTGCCCAACCTTCCTTCCGAGGAGTGGCTGGTGGGTTTGAACCGCCAGCCTTCTGGTTAGCAGTCAAGTGCCTTAGAGCTCTGGTAGCATAGTGGATAAGGCACTTGACTGCTAACCAGAAGGCTGGCGGTTCAAACCCACCAGCCACTCCTCGGAAGGAAGGTTGGGCAATCCTACTTCCGTAGTGATACTGCCTCGGAAACCCAAGTAGGGGTCGCTATGAGTCAGGTTTGACTCGACGGCACATAACAACAACAACAGCTATACAATTAGGAGCTCTGGTAGCATAGTGCCTAAGGCACTTGACTGCTAACCCAAAGGCTGACGGTTCAAACCCACCAGCCACTCCTCAGAAGGAAAGTTGGGCAATCTACTTCCATAGTGATACTGCCTCTCGGAAACCCAAGGTGAGGTCACTATGAGCGGGGCTGCCTCCACAGCACATAACAACAAGAAGCCATAAAATATGAATAATACCTAACAAAAACATTATCAGGCACAATTACCCTAGGATGTTTTCAGATGTCTCTATTAAAGGCAGGATAAAAGTCAATGTTCAATTTTATTCAAGAAGCATATAATAAACTTACTTTACTAGTTGTTTTTTTTTTTTTTTTTTTAATTATAGACTAGAATTAGTTTTTACCTGCATACTATCTGAATTTTCTTTCTTAAAGAATGGAATTGTCTGCTGTTAAATATTTCTTACCATTCCTGCTGGTCAACCAACGATTTATTTTGTTACAGAATATGGAAAGTCTCGATTCTACACAATCTCATGAGAGGACCGGACCTGAGGATGTTGAACCGATGTCTGATGAAAGGTAGTTTTAGAATTTTCTCACTTTTTTGGAAGATTATGAAAAGATTTGTGTTTCACTTTATGTAGTGTCTGTTATGACAACTAAAAAGAATAGAGTTAAAAGACAGTATTTTGTAGCAGGGAAAATGATCAGAACAGAACATCTGCCATGGTACCATTAAAGGCAAATAACTATATTTTTACTTTCTTGTGTTTCTGGTTTTGTTTTAATTTGATGAATTTTTTACTTTGTTTTTAAATTTTATAAGAATTTTGTTTAGAGCTATTTGGCCCATTTTTAAAACAAATGAAATCATAGTATCTGTGGATTAAAAAAAATGTTATAAGACAAACTGACATTTTGTAATACTTTGTTGTTGTTGCTGTTGTTGATAGCAAAGAAAATGAACAAGATGGTGGACATGCCCAGCAGTTTGAGGTGAGTAGCTAACAAATGAAATTGTGACTTTAACTGGTTTGTTCATACATTATTGATTATTATTATCCCTGAATAAGGGTTAATGAGATAAAGGAATGTGATTCCTAGAGATTAAAGATTCCTTGAAAGACTATAAGAACTCCACTATTTTTGGGAGCTCTGGTAGCATAGTGGCTAAGACACTTGCCTGCTAACCAGACGGCTGGCGGTTCAAACCCACCAGCCACTCCTCGGAAGGAAGGTTGGGCAATCCTACTTCCGTAGTGATACTGCCTCGGAAACCCAAGGAGGGGTCTCTATGAGTCGGGTTTGACTTGATGGCACATAACAACAACAACAATTTTGCTTTTTAAATTATTTTATTTTGATTGTGAAGATAAACTTTAATAGAATGGAGATTTTCCATGACTTGATGCATTTTTAAAATGATTGTAATAAATAGGTTATAAGTTGTAGTGGATTCATCACAGACAATCTAAGTAACTTTCAAATTGACAAATTCAGTTTGAATTATTTAATCTGAATAAGTTTTGTGTTTCATTTTAAGTAAAGAATGGAGAATAAGTATCTAACTCCCATTTTTCTGCCTGTATCTTTCTCTTTCATGGCTTCCCTTCTGTCCTTTTAGCATGTCCTCCCCATGCTGACCCACAGGTTTTGTTTCCCCTGCTTCCAACTCTGGGTTTCATTTAGTGGGCCAGATCTCATTTTTCACTCGTGTGTATTTCATCAACTACTTCCAAATACTTCCAACTCCACCCTCAATCTTTTTATAAGTCTTCTTTTTGGCAAAAAACTTTTCTCAACCTGTTCTTGGATTTTGACTCTTGATAGATTATTTATAGAACCCTTCAACTAACCTGATAATTCTTTCCTTTTATTTGATTTTCTTTTCTAGAGCATTTTCTTGTGCTTTAGATGGAAGTGTACATAGCAAATTAGTTTTCCATTCAATAATTCATACACAGATTGTTCCATGAAATTGGTTGCAGTCATTGCAATGTGTCAGTGTGCTCCTTGAGTTCACCCTGACTTCCCCGTTTCCATTTATCTGGTTTCCTTGCCCCTCCCTGCCTCCTCATCTTTGTTTTTGGGCAAATATTTCTCTATTGGTCTTGTATACTTGATTCTCCAAAGAAGCACATTGCTCACAGGTATTACTGTTTATTTTATAGTCCACTCTATTATTTGTTCTGGTAGCATAGTCCCTAAGACATTTGACTGCTAACCAGAAGGCTGGCATTTCAAACCCACCAGCCACTCCTTGGAAGGAAGATGGAGCAATCTACTTCTGTAGTGATATTGCCTCAGAAACCCAAGGAGGGGTTGCTGAGTCGCACTTGACTCGACGGCAGTGAGGTTTTTCTTATTATTTGATTGAGGCGGCCTTGGAGTAGTTTCAGTTCCATGTTAGAAGGTTGACTTAGTCAGTAGTCTCAGGGGTTCCTTTAGTCTCTATCAGACCAGAAAGTAACCCAATGATTCTTAATCTTTGATGGGCACCTGATACAGCTTGGATCTAGTAACAGCTACAATCCCTGCCCTCTTGGAATTTTACGGTCTAGCAGGTTAAGAATTTGAAAGCTATGGATACTCTTCTTAGAAAAATGCCCATTCACAAGTTTTTGCATGAAATTGCTGGAGAGTTAATGGTCACTACCACTTTCTCAAGGCATGGACTCCTCATATTTTCCCTGTTCAGTCTTTTCATATATACTTATTCATTACCCCGGCAGCTAATAGGAGGGAAATGCTTCCTCTTTCTGACTTCATAGCTTCAGAGCCACTTCTTTTCTCTTATTTTCAACTCATTATACTTCTCTGAGACTCAGATAACAAGCTGACATTCTTTCTTTGTCTCTTCAGGTATCTTCTTAAGAATACAGTTTCCCCATGATAGTATTTTTTTTTCCTCCTGTTTTCATCCTTTCTCTACCATCTCCCTCTGCTCACAGCAAGAGCCTACTCATCATGTCATTGAACATTATTTTAAAGGAAATTGTTTCTCCAGCTTCTTGGAGAGGTCTTCTCAATTCTTTCATGTCTGTTATCTTTATGAGATAAAAGGGTGTAGAACAGTCTTTGTGGATGGACTTCATAACATTAACTCATAAATTCCAACTGGCACCCACACTAAATTCACACTGAACACAATTTGCCTTGATATTTTTGCCTTAACAACTCCTATAGAAGTGGGTGAATCATGGAGAAAGAATCTAAAACCCTTCTTCTATGTGCCAGGTCCTATTCTTAGATGTATAACCCACGTGCAGCTACCAATCAGTACCTCGCCCACTGTTGGCACTCATTAAGCATTCACTATTAATAATCATTGCCATCATAACAATTTCAGTTAGGAGATAAATAGGCTAGGGGCTGAAATCTAAACAAAACTCTCCATGTTACCTTTTTTTCACAACTGCACCAAAAGTACAAAAAGGCATCACTCTACAAAATTATCAGGATTGTGTTTCTACTCACAAAGCCATGTGTTTCTTTCACTAGTTTATTACTAAACTATTAATAGTAGTAAAAATAATAATAAACTAGTTTATTACTTGGACAGCGTATCATTCTTTTGTACATAGGGTCGCTATGAGTTGGAACTGACTTGATGGCACCTAACAACAATAACGGGAGCTCTGGTAGCGTAGTGCCTTAGGCACTTGACTGCTAACCAGAAGGCTGGCAGTTCAAACCCACCAGCCACTCCTTGGAAGGAAGATGGGACAATCTACTTCCATAATGATATTGCCTCGGAAACCCCAGGAGAGGTCGCTTTGAGTCGGGTCCGACTCAGTGGCACATAACAACAACAATAATAATGGGAGCTCTGGTAGCGTAGTGCCTAAAGCACTTGACTGCTAACCAGAAGGCTGGCAGTTCAAACCCACTAGCCTCTCATCGGAAGGAAAGTTGGACAGTCTACTTCAACAGTGATAATACCTCAGAAACCCAAAGTGGGGGTCACTATGAGTCGGGGCCAACTCAACGGCACATAACAACAACAACAACAACAACATTATTAATGAAGGACTGTGAAATGGCCTGTTTTTAAAGCTCTTTCCTATACACAGTTAAGTGTGTTACCAACTTAATGTTGAATATATTTTGAAACATTTAACTGCTAACCAAAAGATCAGTGGTTCTAACCCACCTGCCACTCCATTGGAGAAAGATGAGACAATCTGCTTCCATGAAGATTTACATCCTTGGAAACCCTATGGGACAGTTCTACTCTTTCCTATAGGGTTGCTATGAGTCGGAATCCACTCAATGGCAGTGGGTTTGGTTTTTTGGTTTAGCTTCAGATTGAGATTCCAAAATTTACATGCCCAGTATGAATGGGTGTGATAATGTTTCCAAATTCATTTTCCATTAACACTGATTTTGTCATCATTGATATTTTTATTTCAAATTTACCTTGGAAACTCTCATATTCATAAGGATAGTACAAGAATTGACAGCCATTGGAAATGGTAGTTTTCCTTTATTTTTTTGGCTAGTCTTTCCATTAGAATGAAGAACATAAACCTTCAACCTCAGAAATACTCCCTAGCCAGTTTGTTGTTTGTTGTTTGCCGTCGAGTCGGCCCCGACTCATAGAGACCCCTCCTTGGGTTTCCAAGGCAGTATCACTACGGAAGTAGGATTGCCCAACCTTCCTTCCGAGGAGTGGCTGGTGGGCACTATGCTACCAGAGAGAGCCCCTAGCCAGTAAGATGGAGGAATAGGCAGACAAGCAACACAAACCCTCTTCAATAAAGAAAAGAAAAACCAATGGACAGAGATGCAGAAGATAATCCTGGAGTCCTGAGCTTTGAAGGGAACTATGTGTTAAGTGGATTAGGCACCAACTAGTGGAAAAACCTGAACGAAAACAGTGGTTCAAAGACGATTGGAGCTGCGGATTGTCGGCTACTCTGACAGGACCAGCAACCTGAATATTTCCAAGTGGTGTTGGGACCTGAGAATTGACCTAAAGATCAGCCCTGGTCACCAAGAGCTGCAGGGATGACTGTGCTGGTAGCCTAAGACTAGGAAGGGAAACAGCAAGAAGGGAGACAACCTGAGCTATTGACTTTCTGCTATTTGGAGGGCGCAGCCATTTTGATTCTTTACACACAGCAACCATTTTGGATATTTAAAGTGAACAAGGGTGCAGCCATTTTGAATGTTTATAAGTGGCAGCCATTTTGGATATTTAAAGTGACCGAGGGTGTGGCCATTTTGGATATTTAAAGTGACCAAGTATGAAGCCATTTTGAATCTTTACAAGTAGCAACCATTTTGGATTTTAAAGTGATAGCATTCTCAATTGGATTCCAGGGACCTACGAATAGGCTCTGTTTGCCAAGGATGGCAGGGACATATGAAAGGCTGACAACAGGAAAGGAGACAGGTGGTGAGTGTATAAGTGCTGTCAACTAGCGAACAGAGGAGCACAACACAGTACCCTGCTTACGTAGATAACATACAAAGAAAACAAAAATCATGGGCAAGCCACTCCAACATACAATCACCAATTAAATATAAACACAAACATGTCACAATGCCTCGGAGGCAACAGAGCATCACAGTCAACACAAAGAAGCAGGATAAAGCAGTAGAAACAAGGGACCAGGGTACAGACCCAAAACACATCCCTGAGCAAGATGCAGCACTGAAACTCCCTGATAAGGAATTCAAAGGAATTATATTTAGGTATCTTCAACAAATTGAGGGACACATCATGGAAAACACAGACAAAGCCCTAGAAGAATTTTGGAAGAAAATACAGGAACAAAATGACAAAATAAATGAAAAATTAGAAATGATACAAATCCTACACACAGAAATCCAGAAGATTAATACTAAATTTTCAGAAATAGATAAGTCATTGAATGGGCAAAGGAGCATAATTGAATCGATGGAATCAGAATTAGGGATATTGAAGGCAAATACTTGAACACTTCTTTGGAAAGGGATAAATCAGAAAAAAACATCAAAACAAAATGAAG